GAATTCCAATATTCCCAACGGAACTGACATCATCATTGGGACATGCATGTCGAGTTTGTGTCATAGCGAAAAATATGTTTTTTTTTTCATCAATTAAATGTCTTCGTCACACTAAGACGTTAGTGTGTACTGTTCTCTTCTTCCTTTTTTAAATGTCATTACGTTTTCTTCACGATATGGGATCAGGCTGAGTGAAAGAAAAAAAACCATCGAGAAACAAGCATATCTAATTTTCAATGAAATACATTTTGCCTTCAGGGTGGGTGTGGTAGTGGGTGTCAGCTTAACTCAGGACAAGAACCACACCTACACCTACACTCACACCCACACCCACACCCCACACCCCACACCCACACTCACACCCACACCCACACCCACACCCACACCCACACCCTGATGATTTGATCCAACTAATCCCAAAAGAGCGAAACGTATGGACCAGCACACACACATACGCACTTACTACTATCAAAGAATTGAAAGTAGACAGTGATAGCAGAGGCAGAATACGAAATCAATCTATTCATATTTTATTCAATATTTTGAAAATGATGTTTTGTTTTGCGATAGATTTTTGAACTGCCATTATACCTTAGAAAAATGTTTAGGAATTGAAACATATCGATCTATAAATGCATAGAATCGAGTAATGGATTGAAAAGTGTCCAGATGAGACATGAACTTGCTCAATGGTTAAAAGAAACATTTAGTTATTTATTTGAATTTATCAATTTTGGTTGTTCTTTCCTGCCTCTTATCTTTGTTTTTTTGTGAAATTATGAAAATAACAAAAAAATTTGGAATAAATCTAAACATTTAGATGTATCAGGTGGATCTAAAATGCTTCAAAAAGTAGTGATGTTATTTCTGAAAATTCGCTACGAACTCATGTTTCGAGAAAATCAATCAATTCTTGATTATCAAAGATAAAATAGTAACGAAAAATGAAGATTTAAAAGATGATTATCTTTATGCAAATTTTTATGATTTTGAACGACATTATACAGATGAATTTAAACATTTTGAATTAATATTTCAAAAAAAAAAATTTTTTTAAATAATTTTAATTCAAGAAGATATCGAAGACGATGATTCATATTTTAAATTAAAAGATACAATTGATTTAAATGATTTTGAATTACCTAAAACTGAAGATGATGCTATTGATTATTTATGGAATTATTTGAAAAGTAATTCATTTATTAAATCACCGAGTGTTAATATCGGTTTAATAAGTTCAAAGAAAGTTAAAAAGAAACAAGAAAAAATCAAAAAGGAAATAAAATCATTTCTTGAAAATGAATTAACAAATGAAGAGAAAAAAGAATTAGATGAAGCTGTTAATACAGTTTTTAATATTATTGATCAAACAATTGGTGAATTTAAAAAAACACCCGATGATAAAATAATTGTCAGTTATTTACCAATAAAAACAAATTATTTTCTTAATAATAAAAAACAAGTACCAGATGCTTTAGATGAATTTATTGAATTAGCATAATATATTGTTTTTCAATTAGAAGAAAAAAAAGAACCACCAAAATGGTATGACATAGCTGCTGTTATTGCATTAGGTGTTGTACAAATTGTCACTGGAGTTTTAGCGAAAACATTTATACCCGTTGTTGGACAATTAATTGGTGAATTTTTAATTAGTACTGGATGTGATGATATTCTATTTGGTGTGCAATGTGCCATATCGGAGGATTTTAGTTGGGAAAAATATTGGCAACATAAAAAACAAAGTATGATAACGAGTGCTATATGTGCCGTATTTTTTGTAGCTGCATCATATTTAAAAAATGCAAAAAGATTAAGAAGTTTTCAAAAAGCTTGGGGTTTTCAAAAATTAACCCATGCGAAAAAATTACATACAGCAGCTTCAACATTGGGGAAAACAGCGAATATAGGCAAATATGTTGGTAAAGAAATAATGAAAACATTAGTTCAAACTGGTTTAGGTGAATTAGAATCAGTTGGAATCGATCATTTGTTAGATACCGTATCGAATACTTATGAAATGAAATTAGCTGAATCAATTAAAGAATCAGTTAATAATAAATGGAATAAAGTTGAAATTGAAATGAAAGAAATATTTCGTCTATCCGAAGGCAGCAATTTATCACAACGAATTATTGAAGATTGTATTAATAGAAAATTACAAAATTTACCGGAAGCAACATTTCTCAAAAATTTTACAAGCCGATGTGGTCCAGTTATGCAAGGAATAGGCAAGGCAATAGCTGATGGCAAAGGAATGAAAGGAACAATATAACGTATATTCACTTCGTATGCTCCATCATCAATTAATTTAGGTGTAAATATTGGTGAAATAGCTACAGTAAAACCTCCCTTAATGAACACCTCTATATAATGAACACCTCCTATTTGAACACGTGTCTCGGTCCCCCTGATCGATTTTTGCTGTAAATGGACCTCTCTATAATGAACAC